GGTCAAAGGTGCAAATCCAACCATGAAAAAGTGAAGCCGTGGGAAAGGGACTAAGTTCACAGCTAGTTTTCGGAGGTCGGAATTCAGCTGGCCAGGGAATCTCAAGCAGCAGGTAACTCCACTCATTGTTGCTGAAATTAGATGGTTCAAGTCCCCGACTGAAAAAAGTAGAACAAACATCAATTTTTTAGAAATTGCAGGTCACAATCAAATGCTTCCATCGCCTAAATTTAAAGGTACTTACAACTTGGAGTAGAGAGCTTGAGGGTCCTAAAACAGATATCATAGAGTGCTTCATTGTCAAGTACCATACATTCATCAGCATTCTCTACCAGCTGATGCACTGAAAGAGTAGCATTATATGGCTCCACAACAGTGTCTGACACCTTTGGAGATGGAAACACTGAGAAAGTCATCATCATTCTATCCGGATATTCTTCCCTAATCTTGGAGATTAGAAGAGTCCCCATTCCAGATCCTGTTCCTCCTCCAAGTGAGTGACACACTTGAAACCCTGAAAGAGTTATATAACTTAGGAATTACGAACCTCACAATAGTCTCGGAAATTTGTCGGTCCATTTTAAATATAACCCTGAAAGGTCTTGGAAATTTGTTCCCTAATTAGCCGATGCGGGACTCCCCACCAACCCTTCTCAACAAATATATATGATTGATTTGGTCGGGTGGTGGATCGAATTCACACTCAACTACGTCATCCAATATTACTCCCGTGAATTGGTTGAGAGAGATAGAAATAGGGAGGGGAGTGGGATATAGGAAGCCTAGTAATTGTGAAAGAAAAAATCCGCCCTGCCATAGCAGGTGGGGTTATTAATGAATCTGTTAGATGAATACCATTCTCCACAATGGTACGATATTGTCCACCTTGAGCATAAGTCTCGTGACTTTGCTTTGGGCTTCCCAAAAGGCCTCGTACTTTATCATCCAACAGAATCCTTCGTTGGTAGTAAGTTAACCGTGTATGGACGCCCCTTAGCCTGGTGCTCATGACGCACTACGAAACCTCCACCGTGCCGGAGTATATACATATATTTACAAATCTATGAATTAAAGGTTAAAGAGAGATGGAGAAATGGTTATTACCCTGAAGAGAATCACAATTCTCAGCCTCTTTCCTGACAACATCGAGCACTGAATCAATAAGTTCTGCACCTTCTGTGTAATGGCCTTTAGCCCAATTGTTGCCGGCGCCGGATTGGCCGAACACGAAGTTGTCTGGTCGGAAAATCTGGCCGTACGGCCCCGTCCTAACGGAGTCCATGGTTCCCGGTTCGAGGTCCATCAGCACCGCCCTCGGCACGTACCTTCCCCCGCTCGCTTCATTGTAATACACACTCGCTCTCTCCAGCTGGAGTTCTGAATGTCCGGCGTAGCGCCCAGTCGGGTCGATCCCATGCTCGTCGCAAACCACTTCCCAGAACTTCGATCCGATTTGGTTCCCGCATTGCCCTCCTTGAATATGCAGAATCTCACGCATAGTCGCTTCGCAGCCGAGGGCAAAACCGGAACCACCACGATCTATTTTCCAACGGCCACGGGCAGTAATGGGACGAGTGGAGGGGTTCGTTATATATAATAACGGCTTTGAATGAATGGACGGTTGCGATTGTCTGGATCCTGTGCCGCTAAAAATGGATGGGAGGGGTGGAGATTCGAGGAGGGAATAATGATCGGACGGTCCAGACATGTCCGTCCGATCTGAGGTAATATAAAAAACCGGCTCCTCCTTGTTCTGCGGTTTATTTAGTGGAAAACACGGTTGCCATTTGTCGGTCCTGCAGGCGCTCTCGCCGGCTGTCAAGGGCTTTCAAGGAAATTCTAAAATTCACTTAATACATAATTACCAAAATGCCCTCAACCCTAAACTCAAAAAACAAATTAGAAAATCATAAAATAATTATATATATATTATAAATATATTAGAACTTTGTTCCCTCTTTTGTCTTTATTCTTAACTTTAACTTTGCTAAAATCCAAACATTATTTTTAATTTTCTGAAAAGACTCGGTACAAATGGTAATAGCATTCCTTACTTAGAAATTCGTGATATTCTCCTTAATTAGCCAATACGAGACTATTCTCCCGACAATTCTCAACAAAATCACCCTCTCAAATATGAGCCAAACCCGTCGTAAAAATCATAACAAACCTCATACGAACAATGCCCGATCCATAGTTTAAGACAATATGCTCGACCGAGATCCAAAGATCAAATCTCTTACCCTAATTGCAGTTCCATTTAAGAACCCCTTGGGATTCATATGCAAACACCTGGGGGAAAGAAATGGTTGGGTAAAGGTACATGCATGCATGATTCTTAATCATTATAGATATGGAAAATTGGGTTTTTATTACATTGTTGGTCCCTGGAAATATATGTCCTTTGTAAATCATGGTAAGCAGAGGAGTAGGAAGAAGTGTTGCATGCATGAGAACCAAATTAGCATCAAAATGGCATCTTTCTTTCTGCTCCTCTTCTCCAAACCCTTTTTTACTCCAAAAACCCTAAACCCTAATAATTATTTACAACTTTAGTCCCTCAAATACTCACTTTTTGCATTTCAGTACCTTGAAACTTAACTTTCAGTTTTTTATTCAATAAACCCTCGTAGTCTGAATTATATCTAAATAGGTCCTTAACTAGTTAAACGATCTTTAGAATTCACGCCGACAAAATTGAAAGTTGTTTAGACTTTAGACTCCGACACGAACTTAAACTCGAATGAATTCAAGTTTTCTTTTTATCTCTGATTCTGGGAGTGTAATAAAATTGAGTAAAAAAGAAACCCAAAAGGTTTAATTTTTTTTGTCTCTCTCTCACACAACCATGCACTGCAATGGCATTAACGAGACATAACTGCATAAAGTGGGGGCGATGTTTTCTGAGACAAGACATCCTCGTTTTTCACTTTTTAATCACCCATTTAACTCACTATTAATTAACTAATTAATTTTATCCTTTTTTGTTAATTAAAGAATTTGGTTTTGTAGGGCTTTGGTGAGTCATTGTAATATTATGTCCTTTCACGAGAGCTTAGATTTAAAGTGAATAAATATCATATTATTGTGGAAGTCGTGAATCATGGGTAGTTTTTAAAAAAATATATATTTTTTTCTTTATAAATTTTCTAATGATTGAGGTATTTTGAAGGTTGACGGCGACCTCGATAACATAAGGTGTGAGTCATCAAATGCTCGAGTAGATGAGGGTACGATTACTACTCTTACCACATTCACATGTTCGGGTGGGAATGTTTGACGAAGAACAAGGTTTCGAACATGATTAGCAAAGCATGTTTTGGAGTTTTCTAGCTATAAGATGATGATTTTATTTTATTTTGGGAAAGATATGAGCTTTTGATTTAATAAATATTGTTGGTGGTTGGGTGGGTGGGTGAATTAATTTTCCAATAAATATTATTTACAAAATTAACATAATAATTGTAGTAAAAAAGGAAAAATAATAATAATAATAATAATTGGGAGACAAAAAGGGAGGTTGGTTACGTATTGGATGATCCAGAGAATTGGAATGTGTTGGTTCATCAGCTGGTGGCTTTGGTTTTTGTTTTGAGTTGATAATATCCATGCATTTACTTACCACTTACCTGCTTTACCATCCAACATATTTCTTCCTCAATAACATTAAAAAGCTGTCGTGTTTTGCTCACAAGTTGACTTCCTTCCTTCCTTCCATCCATGTCTTCTAATGATTCTCCGACCCATTTTGAGCTACCTATTAGGAACAACGACACTCTACAATGGTGTTCGATCATTAAAAAAAACACGAAATGGGTTTGTGTTTGATCCAAAAATCCAATATTTTTGGTGTTTTTTGGTGTTTTCTTTTTATATTATGAATGGATTGGGGGTTGGAGATTGTGATGGTTTGGTATTATCCCTGATATATATTACACACAATGTAATAGACACGACAGATTATAAATACGCAGAGACAGACAGTAGGGTTTTCAGAAACAGCAGTGACTAGCCTTGGTCCTCTACCCAACTATCTTTCTTTTTCTTTTTTTCATTTTCTTCTCCTAGAAATAATTAAACAATTATTATGGGTTTCATTTCAAAATTGGTTCTGTATGGGTCTGTCTTAGAGAGAGAGAGAGAGAGTCATTCCTATCATAATGGCCAATGGACTATTCTCAAGAGAGAGAAGGTAGAAAAAAGGTGCATGGGTTAGCAGGACATGGATTCAGATATTGGACGTCCATTAAATTCAACGTCTTAAAACATGAGAACAAACCCAAACAAAAATAGAAAATGTAACCAATCTATGTGGGACCCTCAATCTATCTGGTTCGAGACCCAATGTCTTTGCTGATACACCGTCTGTTGTCCACTCCCTTTAAGGCTCAACCTTCTTGCTGGAGGTGGTTGGTACATCACCTCATGTCGACCCCCTTTGAGGCTCAACCTCTTTATTAACACATTGTCTGATGTTTGACTCGGATACTATTTGTAATAGTCCAAGCCCATCACTAGCAAATATTTTCTTATTTAGGCTTTCTCTTTCGAGCTTCCCTTCAAAATTTTTAAGACGCATATACTAGGGAAAAGTTTCCACAACAAAGTAGTGAAGGAGGCCAAACACACAACACGTTGTATTTGTAACATATTATCCTTAGGATTCGCCACTTGATTGCCTCAACATTCCGTGCAGCAATATGATCATGTTACTTACTTGTAAGAGTAAACGCAAGTGGGACCGGTACGAGAGAGGTTTGGTGGTGATTGAGGAGAGAGAATGGGGATGGAAGAGGAGGGTAAAAAGGGAATGGAAACGTACAAAAAGACAGGAAAATAAGAGAGAGGAAGAGAGGCAGATTGGATTTAGAATAAGAGTGAAAGGCACGAGACATTAGGAAGACAATTAATGAGAGCAAACCATAAAACAAAAAACACACAAATATTATTGAGTGTGATGAGAAGCTTATGATAACCCTCATCATCGTCACGTCGCTTTTCACTCTCCGCTCCCCAAAACACACTAAAACCAACAACCCTCTCCCCAGAATTCCACGCCTATCCTTTCCTTTCCTTTCCTCTTCCTTCTTCTTCAATGGCGCCTATCTCACTTCCCTCTAAAGCCTCCATTTTTGCACTCCCTTTCACCTCCTCTTCCAAACCCATCAAGGCTTTTTAACACCTCTCCTTCCTTTAACCAATATGTGGATGATGGGTTACAATGACGCCGGAGATTTGAACTTCCCCGCCGATTCCTTCACTCCTCGCCGCCTTAGGCCTCTCCTTCCTCGCCCTCTCTCTTCTCTTTCCTCCACCGCCGCCGTTAATCCTCCTTTCAACCTTATCCACACCAACGATTTCTTCTCCCAATTTCACCACATGGGTATCTTCTAATTCTCTCTCTTTTTCTACTTTTTGTTTCTTCTATTTTTCATGTGTTCATGTGTGGTTGTAGCCACCGTGACTGATCAGACCAAGAGAGAGTTGAACAACGCGCCACCGCCCGTCGTCGTCAGCTCGCGGTGGAACCCTACGCCGGAGCAGTTGAGAGTGCTGGAAGAATTGTATCGGCGGGGGACTCGAACTCCCTCCGCCGATCAAATTCAACATATCACTGCTCAGCTTCGTCGGTATGGTAAGATTGAAGGTAAGAATGTGTTCTATTGGTTTCAGAATCATAAAGCTAGAGAACGCCAGAAACGACGTCGTCAGATGGAATCCGCCATCACCGCCGACCACTCCGCTCGTGAACCCGGAATCCTTGAAAGGAAAGATTCAGGTCCGATCCCCTTACTACCCATCTCTTTGTAATCAACAAAATTCAAAAACATAAATTTACCAAATTTAATCCCTATTTTCATAATTTTTTCTATTTATTTTCACGGAAAATTAGAGCGACAATTCATCGATTCTATTACAATTCATAAGAAAAATATAATATAAAGTGTGAAACCAATTTAAAATTGGATAGCATTTTTACGAATTAAATGAACATCTCTTAACACAATTAGACGGAATATTTTTGGTAGGACAATGATTCCCTTTTTGAATTTTTTTTTGGGTTGTTCTAAACATTCTATTTGTTTGTTGAGATGTAAAGTCGTCGTCTTTTTTGTTTTACCTTTTGTGAACAGGGTCGGGTAGGACAGTGTATGAAGAACAGACCAAAAACTGGGCACCCTCTTCCAACTGCACAACACTTCCGGAGGTCTCTATTTTCTTTCTCTCACCTTCTTTCTTTATTTCCTCTTCCTTTTCCCAATACTATACTAATTGGTTCGAGAGAGGAACCGAACATTTCTTACAAGGGTGTGAAAACCTCTTTCTAACAATCACATTTTAAAACTGTGAAACTAATGACAATATTTGCTAACGATGAGTTTGGGCTCTTACAAATGGTATTAGAGCGAGTCACCAAGTTGTGTGTCAGCGAGGACGCTGGGCCCCTAACGGAGGTGGATCATGAGATACCATATTGCTTATAAGGGTATGAAAACTTCTCTTTAGTAGACGAGTTTTAAAACCGTGAGGTTGACCATATGATACGTTACGGGCCAAAACGGATAATATTTGCTAGTGATGGGATTGGACTATTACAAATGGTATTAGAGCCAATCATCAGGCGGTGTGCCAGCGAAGACGCTGGGTGGACTCTTAAAGGAGGTGGTTCATGAGATACCACATTGCTTATAAGGGTATGGAAACCTCTTTCTAGTACACACGTTTTAAAACTGTGAGACTAACAATGATACGTTACGGGCTAAAGCGGACGATATTTGCTAGCGATGGGATTGGACTATTACAAATGGTATCAGAGCCAATCATCGGGGTGGTGCGCCAACGAGGACACTAGGCCCACAAGGGGATGGATTGTGAGATCTCATATCGGTTAGAGAGGGGAATGAAACATTCCTTATAAGAGCGTGGAAACCTCTCATAACAGACACGTTTTAAAACCGTGAGGCTGACCACGATATGTTAGGGGCCAAAGTGGACAATATTTGCTAGCGATGAGATTGGACTATTACAAATGGTATCAGAGTCAATCATCGGGCTGTGTGCCTGCGAGGACACTGGACCCACAAAGGGGTGGATTGTGAGATCCCACATGGGTTAGAGAAGGGAATGAAGCATTCCTTATAAGAGTGAGGAAACCTCTCCTAATAGACACGTTTTAAAACTGTGAGACTGACCACGATACGTTACGGGCCAAAGCAGACAATATCTGCTAGCGATGGGATTGGGCTATTACAAATGGTATCAAAGCCAATCATCGAGCGATGTGCCAGCGAGGACACTGGGCTTCTAAGCGGGTGGATTGTGAGATCACACGTCGGTTAGAGAAGTAATTCTTACCAAGAATGAGAGAGAGAATAATTAGTGTAGAATAATTTATGGTAATGATTATGAAAACATCCCCATGCATGAGATGATGATGCGTTTTGAAGAAGAGAAGAAGAAAGCGGTTTGTTTGTTGGGAAATGAAAAGCCTCTAAAAAGCTGCATTCCTTCCTTTCTGTCGGCTCTATAGCTGCCTCTTACCAAACTTTGGACATCATTTTGGGCTCCGCGCCTTTCCATACAATGTTTTGGATTTATGCCTTTCTTTTCCACACAGGAATCTGCTCCAATTCAACCACCGTCAAGCCCTTGCACCACATAACATGGATGGATCCAATTCCAAGGCTTTGTTCAAAACGACACCAACAACAACAACAACAACCCACCCTCCTCCTCCTTGCACTTCATGCATTCTCCCCCCACCACCGCTCTCGACGGCGGAGAAGCCCAGCTGATGATGAACACAGCCCCCATCCCCACCACCACCACCGCCACCGCCACAGTTACAACAATAATGCACTCAAAATCTCATTCTAATATTGGAGGCTTTGCACCGAATGGGGTGGAAGAATTGGAGGAATCAGAAGAAGCTGAAACCCTTCAACTTTTTCCTTTGTGCAGTGACTCACGGAATGGTGAGATTAGTGAAGGGAAAAATGGGTTTGAAACAGTGGGAAGTTCAGCTAATATGACTCCACTTCAGTTCTTTGAGTTCCTTCCATTGAAGAACTCTCCTTAATTTGGTTGCTTATTACTCTCATACTCATCAAGGCTAGAGGGTTTAAGTCAAGCTTGTAGTGAATATAGATTTTGTTTGAGCTCCCAACTTTTCTATTTATGAACGTAAAAGTTGATGGGGTTTGTGTTTTGGGATGTTTTATTGATGGATATTGGTAAACACTTTCCTTTGCCATATGGGTTTTCATTTCATGCCCAAAATTTGATTGTATCAATGTTTCTATTTGCTTGTGAATTCAAAATTTTGTAGAAACTCAAACAAGTGAAGATTAATGTTAATCAGAGAGAACGTGATGTTACTGAGAGTTCGAATACAGACTTCCTACTTTACTCTCGTGTTAAATCATCATTCTATATATACAAGAGTTTAAGTTGATGGGCTATAATATACATTTCAGTCGAACCCTTTTCATGTTTAGGATTTTAACTTCAAAGACAACTTTTAACCATGGGAGAGAGATTTCCTCGTTTGTTAAGGTGATGTGAGAGTTTTTTATGGTGAAAAGATTTGTGCATGGGAGGGTTTTCCTCCCCAAAGTAACTTGGCAAACTAGCTCCACCGCTTCGAGAGAAGGGATACCTTCTCATAAAAGGGTCGTAATGACTAGACCCGAGCGACTGTTTACAAAAGAAAACACAGATTTCTGCAAATGACTATATATATCATTATAGCGATTTTACAAACTATAAGAATAATGCACCTTCTCTATTCTTTCTAGGGCTCAATAATTTGGTTTCCTAAAAATGTAATATCATCTTTCCTTTGGGAGGAAAACAAAATTTCTACTTGTGGAATTGGTGTGTAATTTGTTCATTCTTTGAGAAAGGGTTTAAACCCTTTTCTTACCTTCTTTTATCATTTTTTTCATTTATTTTAAATTTGTTAAATTATTAACACATTCATTCATCAATCAAATCGGTTGAACTATGCTCAAATTGTTTTAATCTGGAAGAATATTAATTAAAGAGAAGAGAATTAAAGAGAGGTGGCAGAAAGAAAGAGAGAAGAAGAGAGTGTGGCAGTGGTTTGGGGCCATATTGTTTATAGATTTGTAAGAGAAAAACAGGAGAAAGTGACAAGACTTCAACCTATACCTTCCTTTGGTTCCACATATTATAACAAAGTTTCTCCTTAATTGAGTGAGTTTTGAGCCATCGTTGTATCATCCCCCTTCTTTTTTTTTTTCGTCATCATTGCCTCATCATACGTAAGATTTCGAGAAAGAAGCACTTCTTATAGGAGTGTAAAAACTAAAACCTCTTTCTAGTAGATGTTTTTAAAAATCGTTAGGCTGATGACGATGCACAATGAGTTAAAACGGACAATATCTGCTAATGAAGGATTTTGACGGTTACAAATGGTATTAGAGCTCAACATCAGGCAATATGCTAGCAAGGATGCTGGGCTCCCAAGGGGTGTGAATTGTGAGATCCACATTGGTTGTAGAGGGGAACGTAGCATTTTTTTATAAGGGTGTAAAAATTTCTCCTTAGTATATGCGTTTTAAAACCATGAGACTGACGATGTTACATAATGCGCTAAAGCGGAAAATATTTGGGTGGGGGAGTAGCAATCTTCATGCTTGTTTTTTTTTTTTTAACAAACAATTAAATTTGAAATTAAAAATTGGAAATTAATTAATGGGCCTGATGGGCCTGAGAGGAAATAGATTTAAATAAATAAATTATTGTTGGGCCTGATGGGGCCTGAGAGGAAAAGTCTTGTTGGGCCAGTAGAGAGAGATCATGGTCCAAATCTAAGCTCAAATCCATTGCTTTGCTGAAAAGCTCTAACGAAGCCCATTAACGAAAACTGACTGAATCAGAAGGATTATATATTGTATAATCTTTAAAAATTCTTTCTTTCTATATATATATATATATATATA